CTACGAGCGTTCTACCTACTCAAAAAAGTCTTTGTTCATTTCCTCATCCTTTAGATATTGTTATCTTACCATTGATTGGAAAGAAGCCTTATCATTGGATGTGAAGGGACGAACGTGGATCATCGTATAGTCATAGAAAGCAACATTGTATGATACCTTGCCAATTTTTGTAAGGGTCTAAGATCGTTTATCGAAGGCAACATTGAAGGATCATCAAGGGATTACGATCTTGTATTCGAGGGTCATTGTTGAAGTATCCCACGCTCGAGGGACATGACTGTTTTATCCGAGGCAACAAGTGTGGGTTAACCCTAGAGGTGCAAGTGTGCAAAGTGTTTGTTTTCTATGCATTTTTATCTTGAATTAGGATTTTCTATTAGTTGATTTTATGTCTTGCCATACAAATCCTAATTACTAACATTTATATTAAAAGCGATAAATTGCGGAAATGTAAAATTCTACGATATTACATCATTTAGGGATGGGGGTATAATTTATAAATGGAGGGAAGAAAGCTATTAAAACCTAACTACTATTACAATCATATTGAATAATAGAATGCACAAGAAGATAAAAATAATATAAAAGAAAAGGAAAAATTTTTTTATGGTTTTTTGTATGAAAAGGTTTTAATTAAAGTAAATTGAACTAATTAATTTACAAGAGAAGTTAATTAATTATTTAATAAAACCTAAAGTCTAAGTTAATTAAAAAGAAAACAAAATAAAAACCTAAGTCTAATTTAGTTTTAATTCTAAAAAGGAAAAGGTTAATTTATGGAAAAGGTTTTGATTTTAAAAAAATAAGGAAATAAAAAATATTTTTGTGATATTTTTTAATATTTATAGAGAAAAGGTGATAATTTAATAGTGTACAAAAAATCAACTTGAAATGATTAAATTTGGATGCAAAAAGAATTAGTTGAAAATGATTTAAAAAATGGGTGTTGAACCCACGCCCCCTAAGGCTCCAGCACATGCCTTTACCACCAGGCCAAGTGCCTGCGTGTGTTTTAGATATAAATATCACACAAAATATCATAAATTTGTATGTTAGTTTGAAAAATAACAAATAAAATGCAAAAGGGTACCATTGGGGCTCAAATCCAGGTTCCTATAGACAAGTGACTTAGCGCATGCATTGTTTACCATTGGGGTGGTTGTTTCATCCATTTATAAAACATGTTCTATTAAATATAAAATAAATTTTTTAAAAAAAATTGGATTTTTCTCTTCTTCTTCCTTGCATTCATCGTTACTATTATTGTAACAATATATGATTTCCATTTTTTTAAAACTCTAACTTCCTCATTTCTCAACCAAATTCAAAAATGTAAAAATGAAACTTGCTTAGAATTTCCCAAGGATTACAAATATGTAATTAGTTTTTATTTTTTTCCCACTATAACTCACAAATTTCTACATGTACCAAATTGAAAACCTAAATATCCAAAAAATTCAGTTTCAAAATTCTCATTCCACAGTCAATTAAAATGAAATTTAAGGATATGGTTAGCTTCATAGACATGATATCTACATTTTATCTTTTAAAAGTAAGTGCAAATGATGCTTGTATCAAGATTTCAAAGTTGGGAAAACTTACCTCTTGATGCAAAAATTTAATGTCCTCTACACAACTTCCAGAAGTAATGTGATGCTTCCTTTAGCTTCCTTGGACCTTGGTAAGTATGTTACAACTCTTACTTTGCCGTGAGAGTGTCTGGATTGGTCTACTCAAGTCAAGTTGCAATGGTGGATTTTGAAAATGGTATATGATGATAGAGTGATTACAGTAGTGAAACGGGTGATTGGATCACTTCTATATGATGTAAATAAAGTGTTTGGATGATTTTTTTGGAAAAAATTTGCAAGAGTGATGAGTTTCAAAAAATAGATTTTGAAAACTCAAGAAATGAGTTTTATAGCCAATTCGGGTTTGAGAGTGTATGAGAGGGCTTAAGGGCTCATAAATTCGTGGTATGGCTTGCAAATGATTCCTCTATTTATAGGCAAGAATTTGACATCTTGAAGTAACCAGAATCTTGAGATAACAAGTTATGATTTTGAATTTGGTTTGGAAATGCACAAAATGCAAGTTTACTTCATAATGATGAAAGGAGTGATTCAAGGGACTTTGTCATGATTTACTAGCTGCTATAAAGATTGCCTATGATCACCAAGATTGTTTGTACTCTTTGGAACAAATCACAAGCTTGAATGAATAGAGTGGTTAGCATAAAGCTTGCTTTATCAAAGTGGATATGTTACTTTTTGCAATTTCAACCATAAATGGTATCAAGACTTGGACAGAGCATCAAATCCTTGTGTAATACACTTAGGGCATGTGTAATTACTTAGTTATGGAGAGATTTAGAAGAAACATGGTGTGAAAAGTGAGATTGAATTATAAGGTTATGAGATTTGATTATGAGTTCATCACAAAAATGACTTATAATTCAAATTTATCATGCCAACTTCAAGTCTTCGAATCTCCTAGCTCAAAAATGATCTCTTCAAGTTCTTGGATATTTTAGAAAGCTGGGAACATCCTATACAACTTTCATGTTGGCCATTTTGACAAAATCCTCTTGGATCTTGGTGAAAATTTGTCAAGAAGTTAGGTCAAAATTTTGCCTAAACTTGTTGAAAATTTCACTAAGTGTTTTAGAAACAGTGCATGACTTCATAAATTTATAACTCAAAATCTAAGCACTTCTAGGACTTGATCAGTAAAGAAAAGTTGTAGATATCATCAAGATATACAACTTTCATGTTGAAAGTTTTCTTTGCATCTTGGTGAAAAAATGTTATGAAGTTATGAAATTATCATGCTTAAAACACAGAAATTTTTCTAAGTCTTGAAAAGTTTGACTTTTCAAATTGACTTTTGACTTTTGACTTTCTTGATTTCTTGATGATCAAGCTTTAAATTTTTGAATGTCTTGATGAATTGTGATCTTTGAAACTCAATTTTGATCAAAAAGTCAAAGTTTGACTTTTGGTGTATCAGTTGACTGAATTTCAACTATTGATCAATTGATCTTGAGAAATGAATTGAGTCGTGCAATCAGGTCAAAATAATGTACTTGAATCCTTGAGATTATGTTTCAAACCAATGAGCCATGTATTAGGTCAAAAGTCAAAGATTAGTCATTCTCAATCAAAACCCTAATTTTGACCATTTTGCCCATTTGATGATTTGAATATTTTTATTGAGGAATTATGATCCAAACTTGATCAATTGATGCTTATGACTTCAAAATGTTGATATTAACCAAAAATCTTGATGTTTGACTGTAGGTTGACCACAATTGACTTTTTACCCAATATAGTTGATTTTGGATCATCTGATCAATTGACTGAGTAAACTTGTGATCCAAGACTTGAAACTTGACATGAGTAATCTTGGAGGTCCATTATGATCTATGAAACTCATTTGAGGCATTAAAAGTTCAATTGTCCTTGTGCAAATCAAAACTCTAATTTGAGGCATCAGTGTTTAGTAGATGGCTTGATCTAGTCAACACTTGTACAAACTTGAGCTAGTGAAGATCTTGTGAGAAATATCTTGAGAAAATAGAGGGCAAATTTTAGGGTACAACACCAGGCATTAACCCACGTGTCGAGATTCCCTTACAAACTTTGTTAGTCACGAGGGAGATATTTAATGTGCATGTTCTCAATGTCACTAATGTCACACCGAAACTCTTCCACTTCCTTCTGCCAGAAGTCATGCGGAATACATGCATGATAAACCTGCATTCTACAAGCGTGAACAAGGACTTAAGGGCAATTGTTATGGGTCGTACACAAGACATGCGATGAAAGGCCCAATAGCAAGAATGGCAAGGAAACACGCGCGGAAAAGGTGAGCCCTTACCCCTAATTGAGGACATGTGCTTTCGACCTCAAGCCCACTTCCCATCGTTGAATGTGATTTGACGGCCATTCGCAAGAGTCGTCTGATCTCATGGAGAAGGTTTTAATCGTTTGTCTTATATAAAGCGCAACAGACATCATTTCACACATGCTCTCATTCACACACTCAAACTATTTTCTCATTTATTCACTGACTTAACAATAGAGTGTAAATTTATTAGATTCACCCCCACTCCATACCAGAAACTCACTCCACAGTATTACAGTTCAAATTCATTCGACCTCGGCTTATTTCTAGTTCCTATGCAGAAAAAAGACTTTTAAACCAAAAAAAAATAATTCAAAGTTATATGTTTATTTAAAAAGTTTTTAAGAGTCCTCAAACTATCCATCTTTTTTTCCCCCAAAATTAAAGTACATACTGTATAAGTGACCGTAAATGAAAAGTTTAGAAGTTAAAAAATAGCATTAGATGTATTCTAAATTGTCACATATAATTTATATCCATGAAAAGGGTTTTAATGACATCAACTAATATTATATAACTTAGTGCAACTTAAATACAATTACTACTTCTACCCTTTTACTTTGAAGAGAAGAAACTAGTTGTGCTGACATTGTTTCCACTTCCCACATGAGCACCATGACTATTGAATCCTCTTTACTCGTTTTTACGTTAGCTGGAACTCGCTCAATTATTTCAAACTTGTACATCATAATTCACATTAAGTAATTGATTAAAATAAATTTCTCATTAAATATATTTTATAGTACAGATAAATTTGCATAAAAACTTTGGAGAAAAGTTTTTCCAAAGAAGAATATAATATAACTAGAAACGGAAGAAATACTTAATAAATAAATAACGTTGGAAATTTAATTGAAGAGGGTGTTATAGATAATTAGATACATTGGAAACCGAAGTGGCCTGACACAATTTCCATGCATAGATAACCACATATATAACGCCGTGTATGATTTAGGTGGCACTTTCTTTTTGCATGACAAGCAACCTCATCACAAGAGTTACAAAAGAGAATAGAGTACACTACATTCTTCATTGGGGTTGCATCAACCTTGATTGATAAAGCATCTTTTATCTAGAAAAAGAAAGAAAGAGAGATGGGTTACAGCAAAGGGTTGCATCACAACGGAGTGAGTCAGAAAGGAAGGCCTTATTTGTTGATATTGCTCATGACATTTGGGGCTGCCCTTTTTGGTGTTATGGTGCTTCATAGGTTTAGAGAGAAACGCATTTTCAATCTTCTTGTCAAACAGAAAGATCATCAGCTTATTACCCTTCAACTTCTCTTGGAGGTCAGTTACTCTCTAGAAATTAACAAAACATTTCTAAGATCTTATAATTTCTTCTCTAGTATAAAGATGTTGCATTTTCAATGTCCTATCCTTTCAATTCAATTATGCTGATGTTTGTTTTGTGGTATTCATTGATAAGATCTGTAGTAGTGACTATATAGCTTCCTTAATATTTTTGTTTTTTTCAATTCCATAGAAGGAAAAAGATCGCACCAAAGAGCTGAGTAGGAAGAACCAAGAGACAAAGGCAAAAATATACACCCTGAACAGTCAAAAGATGGAGCTTGCTAGAACAATTGCTGGGATGAAATCTACAATGAATTCACTTAAAGATGAGCAGAAACTAATAGAATCCGCCTTCGTGGAGCAGCAGCATGAGCTCAGAATGATGCAGGAAAAAGGAAGCAATTTAGATGAGAGAGGATTTGAAAGGAGAGCATCGACAGAGAATCTTACCAAAAAGGAAGCAGAGAAACAAGAATTAAAGCACCGTCTTGATACCCTGGTTAAGACCAGCAGGGTAAGCATTGAACACCCAACAACCATCTTTGATCAAATTTTGGCAGCGAATGCAACAACGGAAGCACAGGGTAAAACTCAGAATGATAATCAACAAAAAGATGAAGATAGAAGCAAATTAACTGAGTTCAAAGATGAGAAGGTAACAGCTGAAATGCGAGGAGAAATTAAACCTAATGATGAGATGGAAAAGAAAAATGACAACCCTAAAGGTGATGGTGCCGCTGCAAAAGATATTGATGCTGAAGTGTCGGAGGATAAGAAAGCAATCATAGAAGAGCATCAAAGAAAACTCGAGATGAACACGGATGGTGAAAGACGAGATTCCAATGCGAAGCAATTGTCTGGGGTGAAGAGGAAACACAGTCATTTAAGTAGTAAAACAAAAGGGAAGCGCTGGAGAATCAACATCCAGAATAAGTCAATGGAGAATAATGGCACTTCTGAAAGTCATGGAGAGGTAAACACGAGCCACGGAAAGGTTTCCAGAGAGGATAACAATGGAACAGTTATAAGAGACACTGATGAGGAAAGGAACAGCAATAACCAACTTGAAGCCGAATCACAGGAGAAATTGTTGAAGACTGAAAACCATGAAAAAAGTGAAGATGACAGCAATAACCAACAAGAAGCTGAATCACAGACGAAATTGTTGAAGCCTGAAAACCATGAAAACACTGAAGATGACAGCAACACAACAGTCGATAAGACTAATCAGAAGGTGACAGACAATGAAGATGGTATTGTCCGACAAAACTTGAGCAGGAGGCGTATCAATAATGCTGAACAACAGAAATCCAACATGTTTCATCAAGATTCTAAAGAATTTGAAGTTTCAGATTTCAATAAGCAGGTGAACGATGCAGGGGATGATGGTGAGGAGGATGATGCCGACAGTTTCCTCAACGAATCTCAACCAGATTTTGAAGATGAAAGTGAGAAAGAAGAGTACAAGGAGGAAACAGACGAATCAGAGTTCCAGAATGGTTTGTAATTAAACTGAGTTTAGAATGTCCTTCTAAAATAGTACTCATGGTGTGGGTTTACTGAGTTTGAAAATATTTTAAATTAGTGACTATAGAGTCTACCAATATCATCTTAGGAATAGGATGTGAGTGAATTCTGATTTCACTTTTCTATATTTTGTATTTTAGTATTATCAGACATTTTGTTCACATTGAAGACAGATATATTTATCGACTCAAACTTTGCAACAACATTGCACACATTACAGTAACATCTCGTTATATATGTTTAAATGCCAGTTTCAAAAAAATACTGAAAGGGGGTATAGTACCATTGGCAAGGCCTTTTGATTTGAAATACTTTGAAAGTACTTTTGTTAGTGACTTTCTTTGACATAGAAGTGTTATTGATAATGCATTTCAAATAATTGAGAACATAGTGCATTTGAACATTACCTGCTGTAATTTGTTGTCACATAATTGAGAAAATGTAACAAATGTAAGAGAGATTTTTCTCCACGTAACCACTAAACAAAGCAACACCAACTATTATTGTTTTGAAAGCGTAGTGTTCCTCACAAACTGTCAAAGTCAATGTACTTGTTATTGTAACAAGTCTTACGTATTCATGACTCACAAGTGCATTTGAGGCGTGGCTCAAAAACTTGTTACATTAAGACTTGTTACATTAAGACTTGTTACAGTACGTATTCATGACTTGTTCCCAGCACAAAAACTGTCAAAGTCATATAGATGTTCAGTTCACTAGAAACCGGAAAGCATTTCCGAAATATATTTAAATCAGAAATACATTTCTAAAATATATTTAAAATTAGGCGTAGCTCAAAAACGAATGAAATGTATGTGTGTTAAGTGCCTCCGAAAATACATTTCCGAAATTTAGAGACATTTTCAGAAATTCGCGCGGTTCCCTAAGGGTTCTAGGGTGTATTAAGAAATTTCCTTTAACCTTTATCTTTGTAGTTTATTTTAGTAAATATTAGACATTGCGTTGACATTTTAGACTGAATAATTTATCGACTCAAACTTTTGCAACATCAACATCCATGATAAAATTGATGCCAATTCATGGGTCCCGATTGAGAATAGTATGTATGAATACTGAGACGACCTATGTGGCGATTGATTTATTTATCAAATAAGGTACATTATTAGAAAGACTATAGCTCAAGCCTCAAACCTTTATGGTGAGAAACAAAGTACTCCTTTTTCCCTAGGTACTAGAATGATCGAGTATTCGATGATATGAAAACTTGTAATAATAACATCAACAAAAGTAATCACTTGCAAATGTAATTGAAATTGGGAATCGGCACAAATGGGCAAATATAACGCTAAAAGACATTGTTGCGTTATGGAGAAAACCATCATCCAATATTCACTTCCAAAATTCATTGTCTGTAAGAATTATTTGATAACAAGGCAAAAAGTCTGCTTGGCAGCAAACATGACCAGTCTAACAAACTTCTAAAAAAAAAGTTCCGGGCACACACATTATTACCGAGAAGACTTAGTGTTGTACTATATTGCAAAAATCAGTGTGCCGCTTCAGGTAGTTTCTGCAACAACAAAAAATCAACACATTAGGTGAGTAAAAACTAAAATTTTAACAACCGCTAAATAAGATTCAGATCAGATGTAATTAACATGACATGCACTATCTTTGCAAAATTTGCTTATATATAAGGAATGGAGGGAGTACATGATACAAAAAGCACTAGAGAAATACAAATAATAGTTTACGTTTTTCACTCCTACTAATTCATTGAAGTATTGCAGCAAACTCTGAGCTCATCTAATTATTATCTTGCCTTCTAATACGGATTCTAAATAAAAACTACTGCCTTCACTGACAAGTAGAAGAAACAAACCAACATTCTTCAAAAAATCATTCTAAACTCTTAACTGTCAAAAGAAAAAAAAACTGCAGTTGCCTCAGAGTGTTAAATAGAACCTGTTAGGATACTTCATTAGAGACTAAGCCCAATAAAGGGTTAGAGTAGGGGAATTAGGGGAAGATTGCTTACGTGTCAGTTAGCAGAAGTTGGTAAGTGAATATAGGGCAGGAAAAATGGAAAGGGAATCATTCAGCATCAATTTTCAATTCAAACCTTTTAGAGTTAGGAGAGACAGTAATAAATATAATTTTCCAATCAAGAATACAGTTTGTTTCTTTAACTGTTTCTTTCAGTTGGGTTCCTATACCCAAAACACAAAACTAAACACTCCATATGCATGTGAAGAATTTTACAAGACAATTATGGATATATTGTATTGTACATGGTCAATGACCTAAAATCCATTTATTAATTTAGCATGGTAATTGATAAAATAAACAAACAAGGTTAGACACACTCATATTGAATGTAGCTACAAGCTAATAAGCCCGGTAAAATTAGTTGTAAGAAAGATAACTAGAAATTCGAAGTACCTCTTCTTTCTTGCCTCCGGAAAATGACTTGTATCCCCCATAGATGAGTACTGCCCAGCCAGTTAACGAGGCAATCACAAACTGGAAACACACAACACAAAATTCAATTCCAAAAAAAATAATCTAACAATTCAAGTTCTGTAGAGCTCATCTTGAAACACAAAAACTAGATACTGACATGTTCTTCCTTCCATTTTGAAGGACTCAAAGGGTCCTTCCAGATGTCAACTCTAGGGGTAGCATGGGGATCTGCAATAACCACATATATCAGAATTGCAAATCTACGGTACACCACCACAGTGTAAAATTGCAATTACAAAAACTCGATTATTCCAATCACAGTTATTTCAAAGCCAAATAAAAGCGCAGTTCTAAATCTCGCTATGCAATATGCGGTACACGCTCCTGATGATATGAGATGCGAGATCGGAAAACTAAACAAAGATATGATGAAAATATAACCTGCGGCTCCGGCAAGGCCGCGGCGGTGGACGAGTTGAATCGGAGATTTGGAAGCGGACGCGGTGATACGGGTTAGAGATGCGGCTCCGCGTGCGAGAAAGGCCATGGCTATCGAGCTTGACACGGAGAGAAAGGGCAGAGTGGTGGAGTCGGGACAGGATGCTGTTGGAAGAGAAATGACCTAGAGGTTAGTATTAAACGGCACCGTATTTTGCACCTATCCTCTTCTCGTGTTGGATCCTGATTAAATGTACTTTAGACCCATGAATTTTCTATTTTTTAATTGTGTTCGCAATTTTTATCTAATAATTTTTAAAATTAAATATATTTTTTTTGGTTAAATATACAACACGAAGAATTGGATTTTAAGTTGGAAAAAAGAGGAAACTTTTAAGATAATTATTACTTTTCTTTCCATCTTCATCTCATATAAAAGAAAACATAAAAGATTATCAAAACACCAATCAAAATCATTTATCATGTAACGTTAAGAAAATTGAATGCACTTGACATATGTTGATATGAATGAAGAAACACAAGATATGTGTGATACGGTGGTAGAACCGACTGTTTAATATAGACTTGTGTTTTGTATTCGCAAATGTGCGGTAAGTAATAGTCGCCACCGACTTTTCTTTTATCCAATAAAGGAAGGTGTGAAAAGAACAGAAAAAGACTTTTTCGAGATATTTTCTGAGTAAGAGGGATAGATTATGGAAAGAGAATGTGTTAGCACACTTTCCATCCGTGGTTTTCCACAAGCTCTTAGAGGTTTACTCATTTTTAAAATACATTTGTGCTTTGTGTTTGAAAATATTTTGAAAACACCTTAATACGGCGAACTTTGTAATGTTTCTCGGGATAGTGGAGAAAGTATACAAAGTATTTTGAAATTATTTTTGAAAAGTAGTTTTTTGTGTAAGTGCAAGATGTTTGAGCAAACTTCTAACAACTATCTACTTTATTACTCGAAAAGGGTCGTTCTTTTTCTCTTTTCCTTTAGACAATGTTGTCCTACTATTAGTGAGTATGTAGCCTTATCGTTGGATGTTTGAGTGACATTCGAAGGGACGTACAATCATAAAGGTAATATATGGAGACACTTTAGCAATTTTGTTTAAGGGACGAGATCATTTACCGAATGGCAACACCGTAGGGTCATCGAGGGACTATGATCTTTTGATTTACGGGTCTTTGCTAAAGCGTCCCCATTCTCGAGGGACATGACTGGTTTTTCGAAAGGCAACCGAAGCGGGGATACCCTAGAGGTGCATATGTGCATATGTGTTGAGATTCAATTATTTTTTGTCTTTTTGTTAGGTTAGCTAACATTTTAATTTACAGTCTTTCCATACACGCCTATTTACTAACAGTAATATAGCAAAATAATAAAGCAGTAAATGTGCGAAAAATAAAATGCAGAAAAATAAATCTTAAACTATTACACGGTTTTGGGAGAGATGCATTATAAGTGTAAGAAGTAAAGTACGAAATTTTAAATCTAAAACTATTACATCCATAATCAGTTACAATATTTATATAAAATGCGAGAATAAAAAATAACGTGCGCGAAATAAATATTACATCTAAGAAACCTAAGAGAAGTTCTAAGTAAACAAGAAAAATCTTTTTTTTGGTTTTGTTAAGAAAATAATTAACTCTAAATTTAATTTTAATTAAGAAAATAAATGTTGAATGAAATAAATCATAATTCTAATATTTTTTTGTATTTTTTATTTAAGAAAGTATTTGAAACATAAATTAAATCCTACATTCTAATTCATTTTAAATTAAGAAAATAGTTAAAATTTAATTAATTAATTAATTAATTAATTAAAGCAATTAAATATTTAATTCAAAGAAAATCTAAGCCTAATTTTTGTGAGTTTTTTTTATTTGTTTAATTAAGTAAAGAAAATAAAAGAAATTACAAGAAAAAAACTAAATGGGCCTGAGGTAGAAAAAAAAGGGGGGGGGGGGGGGGTCTGTTGTTTAAATTTGCTAGGCCCAAATACAAGGAGTCCAACGTTGTCAAAGGATCCAGTGAGGACAGCCTCTGCATGTCCATGGTGATCTGCGTGTTGGATGTGTTGATCCTAATCAGATGTGCATCTGATGATATAAGATTGATGGCGCGTGGTGAGCTCCTGGCCATATGAAGTATTGAATCTGCATAGACATGTTAATAAAATGCAAAATGCTGGACCTAGGACTCGAACCTTGGTCCCTTCCTTTCACACCAACGCGTTTTACCAGTTGAGCTGCCTAATCAATCGTTTATATATATCAAACAATAATAATATATTGGAAAAACAAAGTCAAGTCTTAGTCAACAAATCACGCGCGCTCCAGGTGGGGCCCTGATGTTTGAATGATCCAATCAGGAATGGAGAGAGGAAATGAACATTTTGATTAAACCAATAGGACGCAAGGATAACGCCACACCAGTTCTGACCGCCGCCTGCAATTAGTCAAGCCACCGACCACAGTGGTCACAGTCACCTTCTTCGGCGAGACAAAAAACAAAAGCTGCAAAATACGCAATTTCAAAGCAACTAAAATATCCCACCCCCTTTAAAATTTCCCAAGGAATTCAATCGTGGCCTTTATTTGATTTGAAGGTTCCTGTATCATGAGATTAGAATATCCTTGTTTAAAAGTCATTGATAATGGTGATCTATAATTATGGTCCTTTCAAACACATGAAGCACGTTAGAACGTCCACAAATAACTATAATAACATGAATGTATGAAATGAATTGATTTATATTACATGTATGAAAGGTTTTGAATTCAAAATTTACCCAAGTCCGGTGACGCGTGGATCTGATGTTCTAGAGTTTTGCACGTCTGGAAAATGGCTTGGATGATCTCAGGGATTGAAATGATAGGTTTATTTGGATGGAAATGGGTTGGAGGTGTCTGTTTGAAATTTTGTAACTTTATGATTTTTTTCTCAACTTAGGTATGGCTCTTTTGTTGTGTTTTCCAGCGTGTGTTTGGCTTGCTAACATGCTCCTTATATAGAGGAGATGGAGAGGACAAGATATTATGGTAAGAATCATTCTTAATCATGGTCCATGAAAGCAAAATCAAACATTTTGAAAGAATGCCATAATTGCATGTGCTTGCCTCTTTTAATCGATGCAATGTGTCTGGACACTTGTGCACGAATCCTTGGGCCTTTAAGCAAGTCAAAGCATCAGCCCAAATGCCTAAGCCCATCTCCATTTATTTTATATAATTTATTTTGTATTTATCTGAAATAAATCAAAATAAATAAGAATAAAATAGATGAAAATGGTAAGGCAATGCAAAAATTATATCAGGGGTCCTTCATAAGCTTAGGAAGATGTTTGAAATCCAAGAAATTAAGCCATTGACCTAAAACTTCAAGTTTGCTCAATGCATAATTCTTGAAAATTCCCAAATTTTCCCAACTTGGAAAAGCCATAACTTGCCAAATTTTTATCTCATGATGATGATCTGGTACTTTTTGGAAAGCCTAATATGTCTACTTTAATCTCTCTTTTGATCAATTTTGCATTTAAATATGTTATGTTGATGTAAAAGGTCTTGGAAAAAGTGGCTTTTGTTGACTTTTTGAAAATTACCTGTAATGTCTGAGCTTATATCTTCCAAATGGTGGATCTCTTGAACTTGTGGGCTGAAGAGAAGTTGTAGGGGATTGGATTCTCTTAAAAATGAGCTTTGGTGGAAAAATTTATGATAAAGTATGAGAAAGTTATGCCTGGTCAAAGTTTGGTTGACTTCTCCTATAGAAACCCTAATTTAACAATTCTTGACTTTTGATGAATTCGGAGCATTTCTTGAGGAATCATGATCAACCCTTGATTAAATAATGGATATCACTTCAAAATGTTGATGTTGACCAAAAATCTTGAAGTTTGACTGTACATGGGCCACAGTTGACTTTTGACCTAGCATAGTTAATTTTCTAATACTTGAGCAATTGACTGAGCAAACTTGTAGTGCAAGGCATGCAAGTTGTCATGGACAATCTTGAAGGAATATTAGGACCATGGAAAGCATTTGATACCTTTGGAGCTCAACCATCTTAATGAAAATTGAAACCCTAGTTGGGGGTTCATTGCCTTAGGAGGAGAATTTGTCTGGTCAATTCTTGGTCAACTTTGGGCAAGTTGGGGACCTCAATGGGCATGTGTTGAGTAAAAAGGGAGGGAAAATTTTGGGGTACAACATCTTCCCCTGTTCAATCTTCTTGGACCTAAGGATGTAGATTGGCTTGTCTTCCTTTCGTGATCTTAAGGTGGAATATGATTGAACACTAGAGTGCCCATAAATTTGCACTCGTCCGAAATGATACTGTTGGTGAATAATATCGGGAATGAGCTTACAAATTCCATTTGGAAAAGATGACAGAAGACTGTCAGAGATGGGCTTAAAGGTGCCATCCACAGAACATGACGGAGAGTCGTCGGAGATGGGTTTAGAGATGCCATCCAAAGAACATGACGGAGAGTCATCGGAGATGGGCTTAAAGATGCCATCCAAAGTAGATGTTGACTTCATAAGAAGTATCTTTGTGGGGATTCCTGTTCCTACTGTCTGAGGAGGAGTCTGTTGGGGAATGTTTTAGGGGAATAGAGCCTAGGATCTTTGGTTGTCCATTACTCTATTGGGGAGTTATCTCTTGAAAGCGAGGTGTTATCTGGTCGGGATCTGGGCTTCACGGCGACTTGTTGAGGATAATAATACTGACTGTTATATGGTCGTATTCCAGGCTTCACAACGACCTATTGGGGAATATGAAATTAACTGCTATCTGGTCGGTTCTAGGCTTCGCAATAATTATAGACATTGAACTGTTATCTGGTCATATCTAGGCTTCGCAGTAATTATAGATATTAAACTGTTATCTAGTCGTATCCAGGCTTCAGCGGTTTGAAGGAACTAAGTTGTTATCTGGTCGGGTCTAGGCTTCAACTTGAATCTGAGGTATATTGTTATTTGGTCGAGTCCAGGCTTCGGTGTCATAGGTTATACTATCATCTGGTCAGGTCCAGGCTTCATAGTAATTAAGAAGCTGCTATATGGTCGGACTCTGGGCTTTACAGTATCTTT